AACAAAATGTGCAGTATGGCGTAACGGCCAAGGACCACTGAATAACTTGATGCTAAAGGCGTTGTCTGAATTAAGTGCTGTGCAGGAAAACCCAGGGAGTCTGGTGAGCTTGCAAGTGACGCCACTGTCAGACTGAAAAGTTGATGGTTCGCTCCACCCAGGACAACCGCTTCCTCCACGATCCGTCCACATGCCATGCTACCAGACTGCTTTTGAACAATTTGTCGCCAGATGACTTATACTGTAGTCACTCGAACAACTTTCTTCAGTCCTTTTCTTCCAGAGAGTTTTTTTGGCTCAAAAATGAAGGATGAGACGCACCTTGATTGCCTGCACAAGATACTGCTCATTGACCGGGCCATCAAGAAACGTCTTGATTTCGTTGTAAACGTCTAACTCCTCGGCTGTCAACGCGCCTTGCTGCAACAAATACATGCTTCAAGCCCAAAAATTAGCGCTTTCTCGAGGATGTTGTCCTTGCTCATTTGTCGATGCTAATGGTAACTCCGGCCTGAGGCCTGTGCTTCAGAAACATCACAAATTACTCCTGTGCTGTATTACTTTTCTGGACTAAACACCTGTCTTGCTTGATAATCGATCTATCGTATCTTATCGAGAGAAATGAATTCCGAAAAATGATAAATTTGCCTTCTAAGACTTAAAGGCTGGGGGAATATGTGGTCAAAAATGGCTAAATCAGTGAAAGAACGATAAGCAAAGGAAATTTCTGGAAGCCCAGGCGGGTAGCAACGATCACTTGAAAAGGTGGGTGTTTGCAACTGAAGAATGTGCATCTGAATGTTGTCCAACCGATGCAGAACATTCAAAACAGCGTTGATCACTTAATAAATTTGATGTCGAACAACGGAATACAGAGTCATAATAGCAAAGAATAGAAAAGAGAAAAAAAAAAAAAACGAAATAATACGGATCTGACGATATTCTTCCCGAACTACTGTAAACGAATAAGTGAATCACCCAATCACTGGCTGATTTATAATGCTTTTCTGGCAAATTCTACAGCAACTGCGCATTCATGTGAAATACTGTCTCAGGCGGGATGAGTTTGCCCAGCACCTTTTCTAATAATATTCCATTGCATGCACGAGGAACTTACGTGGAATCGCTGGGCGCGTTGCTCGGGCTCCTCGCCCTCCATCGGTCCCGGACCTTTCCCACCTATTACCGACGATATCGTCATTGCTCCTGCAACATGAAAACAAGCACACGGAGGCATCACTGAAGCGTCAAGCCACTCTTAGCGCAAGAAAACGTACACGCATCCCGTCCTACCGTTCACAGAATTAATGATTAAATTTGAATGCGATTTCGAGTTCCAAGGAGGGAGAGTGATGCAAAATTGGGCACAGCTTGCTTCGTCACCAGCTCCCCAGCATTTACACAGCAAATTTTATTCTTTGGGAATCAAATACTAAATATTTGTGACGTGAATTCTATGACCACACAGCTTGGCCGAGACTCTAGCCGCGTGGCCTGGGCAACGTCCGTTTCGCCCAGCGGGGGACTAAGTTTTCCCCGTGAGTTCTATCTGCACTCACGGAACCAGGACCGGAGACGTTGGACTGTAGCCTGGATGGCTGATGTAGGTGCCCTACAAGCTGAATCCTGCATATTCCTTCCTCTGCAACGATGCCCAACCCGAAGACCGCGCCCAATCCTTTTTCAATAATCACATCGTCGGAAGAAATGACGCACGGGTGCAAAAGGCTGTAACTGACCAAAGCGAAGGATGCTTGGAGTATCTACTTGTAACTGCAAGCAGTGGCAGACTGCCCGTCAGATAAGTGGCGTACAGAATATCATTGTAACTGCGCATGAAAGTAAAATTTGTCGGGCAAAAAAATATTCCTCGGTTTTCTGATAAACGGCGAACACCACTTACTACTATAAGATATTCGAGAAGTAATGAACACTCGGGCAGTGTGAAGAAATACCGGACATAGATCGTTTAGATGGGAATTAGTGATCAAAACTCAGAAAAGAACGGCCTGGCACATTTGCTCTCCCCCCAATATGGGTGTATCCCACTAATATCGTTTGGGAGGTTTCTCGGGTGTCCAAGTTTGTTCCGTCACACACTCTATTTATAAGCAGTGCCGAAAGAGGTGCAAGTTAAGGGAAAATCGACAGATTTTTGGGGATCCTCTATAACGCATCAACGAAATCTGTAGTTTACTCTCAGGAACAAAACCCGGGCTCGGGAATCGTGCAAAGGAAAAACAAAATGCATAAAATTACCGAGACACGTCAAGATCTCCATGCAATCTGACAGCTTTGCGGTAAATTTCCCTACACATACATCGAAACAATGTGTGCTATAACTTACAGGAAGTGGTGAGAGGCCATCCAACAAAACACTTCTAACCCGAGCGACCGGCTGGATGCATGTGGGGCCATGATATGCAAAGACCCGGATTTACAACAACAGAGTCTATTTGGGAGTGAAGTCAGAGGTCAGGACGATGGAAACATACGACCAGTTTCGGTATAATGAACGCCCATCTCAGTTTATTTGGCAATTACTAAAACACAGCTGGACTCAGCAAGCTTCTGATGTCGCTTGCAATGACTGGCGGTCGAGATGCGGCGACTCGGGGTGGTGGCAAAGAAGCGGAGGGCGAAAAGGTGACCAAGGGGTTGGATTACTGACTGGAATAGTCTCGGCTGGAAGCGTACAGAAGAGAGGTTGATGGTGAGAAGCACCCCTACGGGTTCCTTTTATATGCAGCATGAAACATACTGCTTAAAGGAAGTTATCCACTCCATATGCACTCATTTTCAGGTTCCAGTTTGAATAGCAAAAGTCGCAGCACCGGCTTTTCTGTCTAAAGTTCGAGGCGTTGCGTTCAAAGCTGCTAACTTCCTCCCCCCC